ATTTCGACAATTTCTGACACTTCAAATGCGTATGATTGTTTCCTTTTGATCAGCGAATTGTGAATTGATTCACTGATTGAGTTCAGGTTCAGTTGATGCGACGACAATGTCAACACGCCCAAAAGGACATGTCACATTTGCCTGCCGGACTAAAAGCTTTGCACACAGACTAAGGGCTTACGCATTCACATCGAGTTTACTCTGGATCCCAATTCGAATACCTTACACACACACACACAGACACACACACACACACGCACGCTAACGCTCCACGCGCTGTACATGATCCGATTTCTGTCTTATGTGCTTAGTTAACCTCATGTGTATTCAAATCTGTCAAATTGGGATATTTATAAATAAAGGATAAGGGCGTAGAAGTATCTTATGGATGTATAATTTGGCATTAGATCTTGTTAACATTGTTGGAATTGTTTAGAAATATTGTTTGATTTATATAATGGATTTTTTTGATTTTTATGATTTTTTTACTTTTTGTATATTTTATAGTTAATATTTATTTACTTAACATAATTCTTGAAAGTGAATTATTTTTTATTTTTTTTTTATTTTGAGTCCAAGTCATTTAAATATAGTATCTTAACAGCCCGAATAAATGTATTTATATAAGTATTTAATATTATACATTAGTCTTTTGAAATATGTATTAAGTTATTTAAGAACTAAAGATTGTTTGACAGCAATCTCCAATGATATTTTATATATTTATGTAACCTCTGTTAAAAATAAATTGTAATCAAAGGATTTATATGATTTATATGATGGTTGTCAAAAAAATATAATGCAGAAAACTAAAATAAAATGAAATATAAATATTTTTATATCAATAAAAATAGGAAATCGTTATATAGTGGTAAATCCGTAACAATTAATAGGACGAAAATAGCCTAATTTCATTTTTATTGTACACCAATAAAGGGTATTATGAGGTAACATGAACATGAAGTCATAAAACACATTGAAACTTGATGTTGAGGGTGAGTCAAAGGCTGTGGCATACCATATCTACAAACATAAATATACATGAAAATATAAACACATTTCATGATAATCGAGAGTGAAGACTGCTTAGTCATGTTATTAACTCGGCTCTCACCTATCAACCCGTTGTTCTTGGAGCTAGTCAAAGCTCGTATAATACTAAAAATAATTCATGAAGGTGCTTGAAATAATCGATAAGTTTTTACGTTTTCATAAAATCGATAAAAATTCATATCAAACGTTCGAGACTTTTTTGATTTTAAATCATTAAAACCAGATCGATAAATATATATATCCCAATAAATTTAATAAATAAGCTAAGGAATAACTTATGTCAATAAGAAAAAAAAAAAAAAAA